ACGGGCGAAAATTACTCTGGCTTGTTGCTTTGCTTTTGCTCCTTGCATGCTGTTGCTGATGATGTTGATTTTCACGCGTGGGAATCCGAGGCTGCCGACACTACAGGGATCCTCTCCCTTTTATATGCCATGCTTCAGCTCCGTGCGCAAGCACTTTGTAACCTCGTTCCTCTCCTTTGCTTTCTAAGTCTCTAAGTACAGAGAGAAAAGAAAGCTCACTAAGCACTTTCACTCGTGATTTAGGGCGATTTAGAGTTGGATTTTGAGGATGATGAAGTTGAAGAAAAGATAGATTAAGGTAAGATCTATCCATTTTTGTTGGTTTCATTCGCATGCACGATGTTTTTATTTTATTTGATTAGTTCCTAAGTGTGTATTCTATGCTCAGGTAGGAGAGGGATATGCTCAGGTAGTCATGTTTACATTTCAATGCATTTACAATGATATCATATATTATCCTCTAACAGTTTGTTTAAAATATTTCTATGTGCAGGACACACCTGATGTTAATTGGGGCGATGAGAACACCCAACGCGGCGTCAACACAGGCCTCCGGGGAGCATCACATGATCATGGCGTCAACACAGGCCGCCGGGGGAGCATCACATGATCTTGGCGACACGGTTACGTCATTAGTTACAGAGTTCTTCGGAGGGGACGTTATTGGCCCATCTTTTATCCCCCGGAGTCACAACCATACGCCTACAATTATGCTTCAGGTTCGCAACAAGGATTCGCGACTCCACCACCTACGCAGGACTCGCAGACACATGAAGCCGAATTGGAGTACGGCCGCGGTCTTCGTGTGCCCCGGCCACCTAATCGCTTGTCGCCTTCCGGTCGTAAGGAAAGGCCAGGTGGTCGTCGTTAAGTAGGGTGATTCATCTATGCACGTGCGCGACCCATTGTATCTACATATGTGTGTATCAGACTTTTCAATTTGAACATCTATTATGCTGAAATAAAAATGCACCAGTCAGGAACAATTTTTCCCGCCTATATCTCCCGTCATACTATCCCGCTCCACTCTTTTGCTTATGTTAGGCCGAAATGAATTTTTTTTAAAATTTTGGCTGATGAATACTGTGCAACCATTGCCCGTCTTAGACATTGAAAAAAATATATTTTCAAGCAACGCTTTCCCCTCAATATTTTCCCGCAAACGCTTTCCCTCCATATGTTCCGCCACCCGTTTCCCGCCAACCCCTTCCCGCCATATCTTCCTGCCACCCGTTTTCCGCCATATGTTCCCGCCAACCCTTTCCCTCCATATCGCAGTCGTTCTTTCCCGCCATTTTCTCCTCTTTACCTATAAAACCCCCTTCAGACGGAGGTGGATAAGCATTCGAGTGTAGTGTAGTCGAGATGTCCCATTATCCTTTCGATCGTAGTTTTCACCCTGGGATGAGTAGCACTCTTCTGAGGCTAGCTACCGATTTCAGGATGGACAATAGGATAGTTCCATGGGACGATCTCACCGGTAGTGACACCATAATGAATGAGTTGGCTCACCAATTACGTAGGTCCGGGTGGCCTGAAAGGACCTATGAGGAGGTACGTAAAGAACTTCTTAGGTTGGATGCAAGGTGGAAGAAGGTTGTGGAGCCGAAGAGTGAAACTTTTAGAAGGACTGCAGAAAACCATCCATTTTTATGGACTGAGGAGAGCGAGGACGAAGATGATATCTTCATGCCGCCGCTTCCGGGTTCTGCATCGTCAAAGGGCAAGAGTTCTGCATCGTCCAAGGGCAAGAGTACTGCATCCTCGAAGGGCAAGAGTTCTTCATCATCCAAGGGTAAGAGTTCTGCATCCTCAAAGGGCAAGAGTTCTGCATCGACGGATGATGACGATGATGCCTTCATGTAGTTTTTAAGCTGTATTCCAGTTGTACCGTTTAATTCAGATGTACTTGCATTATTAGTTTGTACTCTCTTATTGTAAGGCATTATGTTCTATCTTAATTTTATTTTATAGTTGTTGCTTGATGCTCGATAATTAGTGGAGGGAAAGAAAATGCCACTACTTTATTCTAAAACTATATATTTTTTCCATCACGACAAGGTACAACTGAAAATAAGATACAACACGATAAGGTACAACTGAAAATAAGATACATCGTAGAATTTAAATAAAGCTACATTTAACTACTGAAATGAAGCTACATTAAACTGCAGAAATAAAGATACAAATGATTGCGAAATTTAAAATACTACCACAGGAATCTACTGAGTCCAACGTGGATATTTTCCTTTTCCATCGCCAGCTTCTTCTGCTGCCTTGGCCTGACGAGCCCTTTCTTTCTTTCTCTGCCTCTCCGCCTCACGAGCCTCCTTTTGCTGTCGTTCCTGCTCCTCCATGCGACGAGCCTCTTCCCTGTTTTTCTTTCCCATTTCCTCAAAAAAACGGTGTTGCTCCGCATAGTATTCTTTTAACTCTCTCTCTTGCTCTGCTTTCTCCTCAGCTTTCGCCTTCTCGCGTCACTCTTCCGCAAATAAACTATTCCACGCACGGCGACTTCTTTCACGAATCTCAGTCACTGCCCAAGCCGGCTTCTCCGTGTCAATCCAACGATAGTACATGCACAGACGCGGAGGAGACTACAACAAGAAACAAGAATGTTACTAAAGAATCAATGAAAATACCAACAATATCTATTCGTGATGGTTAAACCATACCGGAGGCTTGTCGTACTCTGAAATAGCTACGGCAGGATCTTCCTCATAATTGGCGCACATGAAAAACTTCATGCCCAACCAATCTGAAAAATCCGTCACTTCCTTCACCTTGCAAAGATCGCCACACCAACACCGCAGGACTGCCACCCCAGGAGGCAAACTTGCAGTCTTCATTTTCCTCGGCCTAATGCTTTGATCCGAACAAGGCAAACTCATATCGACTGAAAAAAAATGTGTACACACTTTGCGCACTGGCGATTTCTAGGATGGCTGGACGAGAGCCTCGGTGTCTTCTTTTATAGGCTCAGACGATTAATGATGGCGAGAAAATAAGCGAGAACAGAGGAAATTAGGCGGGGTATTTTAGGATCCCTGTATTGTCGGCACTACAGAACCAAAAGCAGGCATCAGTGTCCATATCCCCGCGCGGAAATCACGCTCTTGGGTGCTGTCACCTCACCTGCAGCAGCAATTTTCAAAGCATGGGAATGAGCGCCATTTGCCACAGTTCTCATGTCGGTCACACTGCAGATTCTCGCAGTGCCATCGCATCCGCTAACGCAAAAGAAGCAAAAGCCAGAGTGATTCCCACGCGTGAAATTCGTCGTCCTCCGCGCCTGGGAACCAGCCCTGTTAGCAACAGTAAAATTTGTCCTGGCAAAGCAACAAAACTGACGCCGCACGAGAATCAGCGCCTGAAAAAGAGTACGCGCACGGGAATCAGCGCCTCAAAGCAGCGCTGCCGCCTCACCTAGTGGCGGCCGGGCCCGCTGTCTCGTCGCGCGCGCAGCAGGCCGTGTCGGCCGGGGAGCGACAGCGGCAGCGGCGGCCGCCTCACCTGGTGGCGGCCGGGCCCACCTGACCCGGCCCGTTACGTCGCCGCACGACGAACTGTGCACGCACCGTTATACACCGGGCTGCCGCCTCGTGTTGTGGCGGCCGGGCCCGCCGCCTCACGGCGTGGCGGCTGGTGACACGTGTCGCCTGCCGCGCCTGCCGCCACTAGTGAGGGGGTTTCTTTTGTTAATTTCGTCCGCAGGGGGTCTTTTTTGGCAATTTCAGTCGGCAGAGGGTCTCTTTCGACAAAAAATCGTGGTACTAAGCTTTGATTTGACAGCTTGGCATTACGCAATTCTTAGACGGAAGACGTAGATAAAACGGGGGCCTTAGAAACTGCTGTGCCAATTAAGCGAATACAGTTCCAGACCAATGGTCTTGATCGTATCGGCGAAGCAATTTTTTTTTGGGCGAGAAAACATATCGACCAAGCATATGTCCGTCTTGTGCATACGTGCGACTGAATTTTTTTATCATGAGTTGTTATAATTTTGATGTACTTGTCATCTAAAGTGACGTAGTTCTAGAAATTCTCTCATTGATAAATTATTCCGTTATTATCAGTATTTCCTTGGTGCCTAACACGACTTTGAAATTAGTTATAAAAATCTCATAACCCAGGTAAATTATTACTTTTATTATTTTTTCATTTATGGAGTCTGAAGTGACGCCAAAACTGAGTTCATTCCTTGAATTCCTCGAGAAGTTTATTTCCTGAAAATTCCCGTTAACACATTCTTTAGTACGTCTGCAAGAAAGAGTGATGCTGCCAGGTTAAGAAAACAAACATAAGGATAAACATATTTAAATCAAGGTTAGAAGGGTTGATGGTGATCCACAAGGCAACGCAAACCTTGGCCTCGCCGGAAGTTACCGTTGGGAACCACGCAACCGTTTTCGTCCCCGCCAAATCTCCAACAAGAGGAAAAGTAAGAGGGGACCCGGGTCCCGGGTCCGGTCGGGCCGTAGCAGCAAACCCGACCCGACTTGACACCACATGCCCGGGCCGGGCCGACTAGTCAAACCAGTCCTCCCGCTCCTACTCTGACCCTACCCAAACTCGCCGGCGCCGCCGCAGGAGCCATGCATGCTCCACCCTCCAACCACCTTGCCTTGCATCCCACGGCCGCCGGCGGCGCCGCCGTCCTCCGGTTCCCGAGCAAACCGGGTCTCCGCCCACCCAGACCCGTCACCCGTGCCCCCACCCAGAAAAGGAGGACTCGCTTTCACTCGCTCGGTCGTCTGGAAGTTTTCAATCAATCCGCCATCGCTCATCTTTTTGTCCTCCGGTAAATAATAAACCACCTCTCTCCCTCCCCTCCCTCCTCGTCGTCGTCGTCCTCCTCCTCCTCCTCCTCATCGGCGCCCGGCAGTATATAACCGCCAATCCTATCTTTCTCGGGACTCCTCGGGATTCTGCCAGACAGACACCGCTCTTGTCCTTTCTATCTTTCCTGGGCTCCTCGGGACTCAGACACCGCTGCTGCCATGGGCCTCTTCGGCTCCTCGGCCAAGGTCTACCGGCCGGCGCCGGAGGTCGACCTCGGCCCCGGCAGCGCCGAGCTCTACATCAGCCCCAATGTCAAAGGTTCGGCTCGGCCCCTCAATTTCGCTCAATCATGGCCTCATGGGATTACTCGTCCTCCTCTCTTCTTGCTGCTGAATTCTGAATTGTGAATTCCGTTGACCAGCTCCGCGGGTCGCCGGCATGCTGGTGAAGATCTTCGTGTGGGTCCTGGAGATGCCGGTGGTGGGCTGGGTCCTGCTCCACATCCTCAAGAAAGACAATCTCATCAACAAGGTGCATGCACTTCACTTGTGATGAACGCTTCTCTTTTTCTCCCAGCCTGAGCCTCGCAATTCTAGTAATCCTCACCTCCACATGCATGTGGATGATGATGTTGTTCACCTGTAACCATTGATCAGTACAGTTTCACCGAAACAATCTCTGGACAGACAATTCACTCTTCTGTGCTGTGATATTTTTACCTTTTGCTGAAATGCTCTGCTTCTTCTCTGACGCTCTGCTCTGCTCTGTGCGCAGCTTGTCTCCGAAGCCGAGATCCCTGAGCCGCCACTGTTCACCTCGACCCACCGCTGGGAAGGTTCTCCCTGCTGCACTGCACTCTGAAAAGCACCAAATTCCTTCCTTGATCAGTGTCTGTCAGCACCGAAGTTTCATCCTGATTGATTCTGATTCAGAAAAACCGTTTGCTGCTGTTGCCGCAATGCAGACACCCCGGAGCAGAACGTCAGCCTGACCAAGCCCGGCCTGTCGCCCGCGGAGCGCGTCCGGGAGGCCGTCGACTGCCTCCCCGCGCGCCTCGAGTCGACGCTCGCCGCCGATGCGCCGCCGTCGTCCAGCCTGAAACGCTGGACGATCATGGACTTCTCAAGGGCCTACAGCTCGGGAGAGACCACGCCTGTCCAGGTCCGTTCTAGGTCTGCATGCATTGCTGTTGTTGACAGCAGGTGTAAGGTTCACACAGTAATTCCTTCCTCATTTTTCGAACGGCACTTTTATTAACTCAAAATGTAGCGTCCACTGGATACAATCACATTGGGCGACACCCGTCCTCTGCATAGTTAGGATGCACACTGCCAATATGAACATGTTCGGCACAAAAGTAAATAAATAAAAATGACATATTGGCAGCAGTAAAGTCCTAGGATTAATAGTAATTCGTTCCTCATAAAATGTAGAGGGGCCATGGCTAGTGAACTGTAGAGGGGCCATGCAGGGCTGAGCCTGCACTCTCTTAATTACTGCATGATGTATGGCTGCTGGTAAGTGAATTATGGAGGATGAGCAAGGGCACAGTGTTTTGCAGGTGGCCAAGAGGTTCCTGGCCGCAGTGAAGGAGTCCTCAGGCCCTACCATGAACATGGCCTTCTTCATCAGCTGCAACCCTGAGGACGTCTTGAAGCAGGCCGAAGAATCCACCCTCAGATACCAGACAGGTAAAAATCAAACCCGCGTTTTATATTTTCACACGGCGCATCAATCATCAAATTATATCAGATCGAACAGAGCACGATGGCGCAAACGGAAGCATAGAAAACAGAGCATGATGGCAGAAACAAAATACCATTTACCCATCCAATAAATTACCTCAACCAAGAGCCAACAGAGCTAGGGATGAACTGTGAACTGTTCTCAACCAACAAATCACCTTTCCCTTTCTTGTCTTGGTTCTTACCCTCTTTTTTTTGCTTTGACATGAACCCATCACCAACCAAACTGGGCACCCACTTGGTACAAACCAAGGGATACATAGACATACACCCCATCCAAGAACACATCACAACCAGAACCTGACCAACAAGTTGCTGAGTTTTTCAGTTTTGACCTCTGGTAACACAAAGCTTATCCATCCTATTAGCTGAAAAAACTTATCCCGTAGATAAATTGATTGATCGTATAGAGGAAACGGAACGGCGAGGGAAGGGAGCTGGTCGAATAAATGTTATTGGTTACATGTCGTTGTCTAGGAGACAACGAGGGGCTGCGAGTGGCTACAGCTTTAGCATGGCAAATGTCGCATTCCGGGGGATTTTTATTCTGTTTTGCACAGTGGGAAATGATTGATTGCGTAAGTGTGACAGGGCACACATGTAGTTTTTGAAGGGTTGGAATTTTAGAGGATTTTGAAGATGTTCAGTTGAGTTGGACATGGTTGTAGAGTTCGACACCGCATGGAAAAAGGACATTTTCATCTAGATTGGACCATCTCTCTTCAAATTCGTACTAAATTCTCCTCATTTCGACAGGCTATTCTGTGTTGCACTACTAGCAGTATTATTAGCAACGAGTTGGGATTTGTGCGATGATTGTTCTACCCGCGTGCTGAAGATCTCAACATTTATTACGCAACCAATATGTTAGTTGTTAGCGCATGTGATTGCAGCTCAATCAGTGCTTCGGCAGGAGTTATGTCTAGAGATCTCAGATTTCGTGTTAGGTCATGTAGCCTCGTGGGTACGGAGGGAGGAAAGAAAGAAATACCTTGTGTGCGTGAAAAAATGCAGAACAGATCCTGATCTCCGTTAACTGAGAAGAAAATTATGCACCAGTCAAAACATGCTCTGCGCATACACGATTACTGGTATACAATAGCTAGCATAAGAGCCGCATCACATTGGCTTACTCATATCCAATTTGTTTGCCAGTAAAGTTACAGTTTTTTTATTAGAACAGTAAAATTACAGTCAGGGTGGTGGGTTTGTTCTCACTATCTGGCAATTCAATTGCTGTTAAGCCCCTGCTTGGACTGGGTGTAACTTTTTGCGTGCTCCCATATATTTGGCTCTCTATCTGCCGGACTGGTTACCGTTCTTGAAATTAATGGGCATGTATACCCTTTAGGTTTTCACTCACTTGTCAGATTTTCATTCACAGTTTCCATTTTTGTACCTGAACCGCATGCAGGGACACCGCTGTCAGTGATGGACGGCGTGCTGGTGGCGGTGAAAGACGAGATCGACTGCCTGCCCTACCCCACCACAGGTAACGGAATCAATGGCACTGCGCACCTTGATAAGTTTGCTGCATGATTTCGTTTCAGGGTTCAGACGATCTCATTCACATTTCAGTCAGTCACGGATGGATGATTTTGGGATGTTTTTCTTCTTTCTGAAACTGAAAGCAGCAACGATGACGGTTTGAATGCATGTGCAGGCGGGACGCGGTGGCTGGGGAAGGCGCGGCCGTGCGAGGCGGACGCGGCGTGCGTGGCGCAGCTGCGCGCGTGCGGCGCCGTCCTCGCCGGCAAGACCAACATGCACGAGCTCGGCGCCGGCACCAGCGGCATCAACCCGCACCACGGGTACGTTGCTGCGCGCCATCCCCACGAGTCACGTCTCCTAACTAACCCCCATGCCTCGTGCGCGTGCTGACGGCGTTCATGGGTGCAGATCGGCGAGGAACCCGTACAACGTCGGCAAGGTGGCCGGGGGCTCCTCCAGCGGCTCCGCCGCCGTGGTCTGCGCTGGCCTCTGCCCCGTCGCGCTCGGCGTCGACGGAGGAGGCTCTGTCCGGATGCCGGCAGCTCTGTGCGGCGTGGTCGGCTTCAAGCCCACCGCCGGACGCCTCTCCAACGCCGGGTACGCCGTGCACTATCTACCATCGCCGTTGTGAAATCAACATTTCGAGACCTTGACACTGATCTGTGTACGAGTGCAAATATTTTCCAGAGTTCTTCCACTGAATTGGACGGTCGGGATGGCGGGGATCTTGGCAGGGACAGTGGAGGACGCCGTCGTAGCGTCAGTGACCACTCTCTCTCTCTCTCTGTGTGTCACACAAACTGCTGATATCATTCTTGCTGATCTGATAAGTAAAACAGGAATTAAGTGTCTTGTTTAATTTCTCAATTTCAGTTACTCGGCCATTGTTGATCAGTCCCAACCATCTTACTTGAGGGTAAATCAAACTGCTCTTGCTACCTCAAGTCCCTATATTTACCTCCACAGACCACAGCATTCATCGTTCAGTAATTTTTTTGAATTACTGACAAGCCCCTGTCTTGCAGCCTGAGCTGAATCTGCCTATGCTGACGTCGACACCCTCGATTAGCAACGTCAGGCTAGCAAAATATGGAAAGGTATCTGGTGGTTCCTGTCAAGCAGATTTGTTATTTAAGCTTCCTCAACTCACAGTGAGATAATTAACACTACTAAAATATTTTTTGTTTACAGTGGTTTAACGACAGTTCCGAGGACATCAGAACCTGCTGTGACGAAGCTCTTCAGACACTGCACGCACAATACGGCTGGGAGGTAAGGAATTGTTAAGATCCTGCGGTGGCATTTCTCTCAAGAACCCCCATGATATCTTCAAGTTTGCCGGTGGTTGGAGGGTTTTTTGAGTTGTTCTTGTGATGATTTCTTGGCTGCTAGACTCTGGATGTGACGGTCCCTGAGATTGAGGAAATGCGGCTCGCGCACTACGTGACGATCGGATCAGAATGCACTGCTTCGCTTGCAAAGTATCTCGACAAACTGTAAGCCACTGAAATTACTTACTGCTATTATTCTTATTTGCATTTGAAATGCGTACAGCTTGTGGCTGAACTGACTTGGCATGCCGGGTGAACTATGCCAGGAAGAGGTCCGAGATCGGGTGGGACGTGAGAGTCGCTCTGGCTGTCTACGGGTCATTCAGCAGCAGAGCTTACCTGAACTCACAACGACTCCGGTGCGCTGTCATTTTGCAAGATAGTCTTTTTTTAGTAAATATAGCAGTATTACCTTCTTGGGATAGTGCACAGATATTTAAATCATTGTAGTAACATTGAATGCTCTGTTACTATTTATTCATGGTTGGTATAATCTGATATCTGGCCACGGGATTTTTCAGGAACCGTCAGATGTTCTTTCACAAAGAGATCTTCAAGACAGCAGATGTCATCGTCTCGCCGATGACTGGGTATTTACTTTCAGTTCATCACTCCTGCAATACACACAATAAAATCTAGTGTTCATTATAGATTATCAACCCCTCGTGCAGTGTGACTGCCTACACACTACAAGATGACGCGCTAAGCAGTGGTGAACTCGACTACATAAACGGAGGTAGCTACTAAAAAACAGAATTCAGCAAACAGTTCCAGAAGCCGCGTTTCCTAATTTCCATGTTTCTTGCGTGAGCTAATTCCCTAACTTGGTGCTCTGTTTTCTCCAATCAAAGCCGCGTTGATTCGGTACTCGATAGCAGGGAACTTCCTTGGTTTGCCGGCGATAACAGTCATGGTAACAGATCTCTAAACATGTTCTACCTTCTTCAGAAAAGAATCTACACATTGCGATAACAAGTTAACATGCCAGGTTGGGCAAGATAAGGGCGGGCTGCCCATAGGTCTTCAGTTCATCGGCAGGCCGTGGTCCGAGGCGACTCTGCTCCACATCGCATTCGCAATGCAGGCAAGATTCAACTTTTTGTCCAAAGAAACAACTAAATGCGGAATCCTTTACTCCCTTTTCTTCCAGATCCTGAAAAGAAATAACCGTTTACTACGAAATCTCTGCATTCCATCCGTTGTTTCGACAAGAACAGATTTTTATATACTGATCACTGAAACGTCCCGTGGCTTTACGTTGGCTGCAGGAAGCCTGCAGCAAGAACCACAGGAAACCTGTGGTGTTCTATGATCTCCTCAAGAAAGACTGAGAGATTGACCAGACAGAAAAGCACAGAAACGGCGTCAACTCATCGTTTCGATCAAGTCTCTAGTATATTGATTGCCCATGAATCTGTATTGATTGTTCATGCTCCAGTTCAAGGATGTATTTTCTGGTTAGGAAATGGTAGATGCATATGTGGTTATTATGCTTTCCAGTTTGCTGATGAGCTATCTTTTTCAAACATGGAATAGATTTATAGTGTAATCAATCTCTTGTCATGCCATCTTGTGAAGTGATCAGTAAAAGTGTAGCCCATCTCTATATCAGTTGTCCAGTACTCACAGTTGTATCTTTGATACATCTTGGAGAGCATTCTCGTTTGGAAATTTAGCTGGAAGCTATAAAGCTATGCTAAGTTTAATTGCCTTGAGTAATCTGGAGTAACCAATTTATGCATGTCCAGTGTTAAATATTCAAGTATTAATTTTGTCTTGGTATTTTTTCCGCTTAATTTGTCTTGTTTTTGGTTCAGATGTTTGGCGACCATCTTTTTTTCTTGAGTTAAAGCCACCTATAATCCTCCCCGGTAAAATTTTTAACTGCCCAAAATTTGAGCAGGATAGGCGAGCTCCCAAAACGGTACGGAGACATGACTTTTTGTCATTCATTTATTACTTAAGAATAAAAAGCTTGACCATTTTTCTAGAAATACACAAGTAGAATATAACATATTAATCACGTAAGTATTTTAGACAAACTACAATTTTTCCGCTTGAACCACACACACATACAAAAATGCGAATTTGCACATTTAAGCACAAAAACACTCCTTGATATTACTCCTATAAAGGATGTGGAGTACCCGCCTCGTGGGGCTCTTCGAGGGCGAATAGAGCCTCCAGGCCATCCACTGCTGGGTGGCTCGCGCGGCGGGAGTTTCTTGAGGCGGCTCTGTGCTGTCTGATTTGCCTGGACAACGCGTGCCCGGGTGACACAGCTGGAGTGTCATAAGGTCCAGTACGCTGGCATCGCCATCCATCCGTCCATCCATCGACATGCGCTAGTGATTATTTTAATTGTAAATTTAATATTCTAAATTTGGAAATCGACCATTGCGATAGTGATTATTTTCAACTATCTATTAAAAACAATTAATTCCAAAATTAATAGTGCGGTAGAGTTTAATTTAGTAATTTAATAAGATATTTTCATATCCAGCGTCACGATACGCAGTTTACTAGATTATTAAATCTAGACCTAATTTAGGAATCAATCTTTTGCCATCAATTATTTTTAGCAATTTATTAAAATAATTCCAAAATCGACAATAACTATTTTCTTGCTGGAATCGACGGTCACTGCAGGGATTAATTTCATGAATTAATTGATATCAATCCTGAAGACCGAAAACGTATGCACTTACGTCACTCGTGCCATGCCGGGCTCGGGCCCGGGCCCTAGTTTTCGACCCGAGGCCCGGGCCAGAAGTGTGGAAAAAAAGCTTGCACATCTGTGTGTGTGTGTGTTTTTAGAAATTTCAAGAATACACATATGTATTCTAAAAACAAATAAACTAATATGTTTTTCAGTTCCTTTTTTCTAAAACGGAATGGTTTTCTCAGTCCCAAGCATGCCATGATCATATTGGGCTTGGTGTAAGCCCAGCCCAAACCCCAGCCCGGCCCGACCCAGCTGTATGCCCCCCGTCTATTGTGAACCATCCAATTTGCTTCCCCAACCCCCGCCCGCACATCCACGGTTTCCCGGACGCCATCAAAATGCTTCGCTACGGCGCTATCCCCACCTCCACGTGTCCACCCAATCGGCGCTCTCCACACCTACAAATATGCCCAAAGGATGGACATGGACGCTCACACACAGCCAGCACTCACAGCCTTCACGCAGCTCGCCCGCGAGGAACACATGGGCCATTTCGCCTTCAGCTGGCAGGGCATGGAACCCGCCCCCGCCGCCTCCCTGTCCGGCGCCGGTGCTACGCTGCCTCTCCACTCTGTCCAGGGCGCCGCCGCCGCGAGGAACAGCGCTGACGCCTCGTACTGCCCCGACCCGGCCACGTACGCGCCCGCAGTCCTGGCCACGGTCCCGCCGACCATTGCGGAGGCGGGAGCGAAGAGGCGCCAGGATGCGGAGAACATCGCGCTCTACCTCATCCACATCCTCCACAAGTGCGCTGAAGCCATCGAGGCGGGCGACTATGCGGTCGCAGCCGGCAAGCTCTCCGAGGCGCGCACGATGCTCGCGACGTCTGTCTCGACGACCACTGGGATCGGCCGTGTCGCCAGCCACTTCGCCGCCGCGCTGGCCCATCGCCTCTTCCCGGCGTCCCCGCACTCCTCCTTCACGCTGGACGCCTCACCGGAGCGCGCCGGCGAGCTCTACCGTCAGTTCTATGACGCGGGGCCATACCTCAAGTTCGCACACTTCACGGCCAACCAGGCCATCCTCGAGGCGTTTGAGGGCTGCGACCGCGTGCACGTCGTGGATCTCGCCATCAAGCAGGGCGTGCAGTGGACAACCCTCATCCAGGCCCTCTCCATCCGTCCCGGCGGCCCGCCGTCCGTCCGCATCACCGGCATCGGCTCCGCGCCCGCCGTCGACGAAGCTGGCCTCCGCCTCGCCGAGCTCGCGCGTGCCATGAACGTGCCCTTCTCGTTTCAAAGGTTCACCGACGATAGCCTGGACCAGCTCAAGCCATGGATGTTCCAGGTCCTGCCCGGAGAGGCGGTGGCCGTGAACTCCATCTGCCAGCTCCACCGATTCCTGGTGGACCCGGACGCCGCGTCCACGTCTCTCCCCACGCCGATCGACGTCGTGCTCGGCTGGATCGCGTCCATGCAACCCAGGGTTTTCACGGTCGTGGAGCAGGAGGCGGACCACAACAAGCCGAGGCTGCCGACGCGGTTCGAGAACGCCATGTTCTACTATGGCTCCGTGCTCGACTCCATGGAGGCCATGTCCGTGAGCCGCGGCGGCGTCATCGGCAACGGAGCCGGCGCCGACGCGTACGTGCAGAGGGAGATCTTCGACATCGTCTGCGGCGAGGGCAGCGCCCGCACCGAGCGCCACGAGCCGCTCGCATGCTGGTGCGCTCGCCTCTGGCGGATGGGTCTCACCCACGTGCCGCTGGGTCCGAGCGCAGCCTATCAGGCGGCCAAGCTTGTCCGCATGTACTCCACCGCCGGGTTCCGCGTCCAGGAGATCGGCGGCTGCCTCTCGCTCATGTGGCACGAGCGGCCCCTGTTCACGGCGTCCGTTTGGAGCGCAATGCCCGCAGATGGCGCCGCCGAGGAGCGCGCCGACAAGCACAAGCTGAAGATGAGCATCGGCGAGAGTAGCAGCGGCCACCTGCCGGACGCCGGGGCGCAGTGAAAGAGCGCAGCATGCATGCATGGTGGTTTGGATAATGGTTAAGGGAGGCAGATCGTCGATCGAGTTTAGTTTGTCAGTTAGTCGGAGCTTATGCTGCAGCCATGAGTCAGCCAGTCGTCAAAGTGTCGTGAGATTCAGATGGGTCTAGGACAATAAAGTGTCGCTCTCAAAGTATGTGCGAGAGATAGTGTCGTTATTCCTTCCTGGTTTTATCTATCGAACAGTTAATTTGCTTCATCAGTTGTAAGTAGATCATGGTTGTTTGCTACTAGTTCATGTTGAAGATACATGTGTGGATGCCATGGCACCTTTCCTTGTTGGGGTCAGCAAGACCGATATATATCTTTGCGCAATTGATCTTTGCGCGTAGGCTGGTAGGGCCTGGCCTTTTGCGGCTTCTCTTCTCCGCAGCATGCATGCAACATGCAGCCGAGCTGACCCCCATAATAAAGGTCAGTACGCTGCATCGCATGCAACGCCATCCAACCGTCCATCCATCCACATGTGCTGGTGATTATTCTGATTGTAAATTTAACATTCTAAATTTGGTATCAGTAATGCTACACGTACAAATGAGTTACAAGGTTTTACAAAAAGAGTTAACTAGATTGATCAATAGGTGGGGAGGTGGCCCACCCTCACCTGAAAACCAGGGGAGGGGGCAAGTTTGTGATTGGTTGGTAGATAGAAAAAGTTTGTAAACTTATGTATTTGTTTGTATGTGTAGCATTTTTGATTTGGAATCGACCATTGTGATAGTGATTATTTTCAATCATCTACTAAAACTAATTTATTCCAAAATTAACAGTGCGGTCGAGTTTAATTTAACAATTTAATTAAAAAAATTCATATCGAGCGTTATGATACGGAGTTTTACTAAATTATTAAATTTGGACGTAATTTAGGAATCAATCTTTTGCAATCAATTATTTTTAGTAATTTATTAAAATAATTCCAAAATCGACAATAACTATTTTCATGCTGGAACCTATAGCTCCCACAGGGATTAATTTCATGAATTAATTGATATCAATCCTGAAGACCTAAAGCGTATGCACTTACGTCACTCGTGCCATGCCGGGCTCGGGCTCCGGCCCTAGTTTTCGGCCCGAGGCTCGGGCCAAAAGTGTGGGGGAAAACGTGTATATCTGTCTGTATGTTTTTAGAAATTTCAAGAATACACATATGTATTCTAAAAACATAAGCTAATATGTTTTTCAATTCTTTTTTCTAAAACAGAATGGTTTTCATTGTCCCAAACATGCCATGATCATATTGGGCTTGGTGTTAGCCCAGCACGAACCACGGCCCGGCCCGACCCGGTTCTATGCCCCCGGTCGATTGTGAACCATCCAATTTGCTTCCCCACCCCCGCCCGCATATCCACGGTTTCCCGGCCGCCATCGAAACGCTTCGCTACGGCGCTATCCCCACCTCCACGTGTGCACCCAATCGGCGCTCTCCACACCTACAAATACGCCCCAAAGCATGGATTGGACGCTCACACATAGCCAACACTTGCAGCCTAGCCTAGCACTCGCAGATTTCCCGCAGCTCGCCCGCGAGGAGCGCATGGGCCATGTCACCTTTGGCTCGCAGCGCATGGAACCCATCCCCGCCGCCACCCTGTCTAGCGCCGGTGCTAGGCTGCTTCTCCACTACGTCTAGGGCGCCCACGCCGAGTACTGCCTTGACCCGGCCACATATGCGCCCGCAGCCCTGCCCACGGTCTCATTGTTATATCTCCAACGTAACTATAATTTATTAAGTATTTATGTCATGTTTACAATAATTTTATATGGTTTGGGTGTAATTTTATATGATTTAAATGGAACTAACGTGCTGTTGTTTTCATCAGAACTACCGTGCTGTTGTTTTTTGTGCAGAAATAAAAGTTCTCAGAATTGGACAAAACCTTTTGACGATTTTTTGGATGAAAAGAGAAATGATAGAGCAAAGAACCACCAGAGGGAGGCCCCCTCCTGCCCACAAGACACCAGGGCACGCCAGGTGGTGGGCCCCTCGTAGCCCATCTCAGCGTGAAACTGACGCCAAAAAATCCTATAAATACATAACCCCAGAAATAACTCTAGATCAGAAGTTGCGCCACCACAAGCCTGTGTAGCCACGAAAAGTTAAACTGGACCCTGTTCCGACACTCTGCCGAAGGGGGGAATTATCACCGAAGGCCATCTTCATCATCCCGGCGGCCACCATGATGGGGAGGGATTAGTCCACCCTCGGGGCTGAGGGTTTTTATACTAGTAGCTTGATACGTCTCCAACGTATCTATAATTTATGAAGTATTCATGTTGTTATATTATCATTCTTGGATATTTTACAATCATTTTATAGCAACTTTATATCATTTTTTGGGACTAACCTATTGACATAGTGCCCAGTGTCAGTTCCTATTTTTTGCTTGTTTTCTATATCGCAGAAAATCAATATCAAACGGAGTCCAAATGCAGCTAAACTTTTTGGTGAGAATTTTTATGGACCAGAAGACACAACTTGGGCCAGAGAAATACCAGAGGGGTGCCCCGAGGGGGGCACAACCCACCTGGGCATGGTGGGTTGTCCCCACCTCGGTGGCCTCCGGCATCGCCTCTTCGCCCTATTCCCAAATATTTCAAAAACCCTAGGGGAGTCGATAGATCAGAAGTTTCGCCGCAAGCCTCTGTAGCCACAAAAAATTAATCTAGACCCCATTTTGACACTCCGACGGAGGGGGAAATCATCACCGGTGTCCATCTTCATCATCCCGGTGGCCACCCTCGGGGCTGAGGGTTTGTACCAGTAGCTATGTGTTTAATCTCTCTCTCTCTCTCTCTCATGTTCTTGAGATGTCATGATCTTGATGTATCGCGGGCTTTGTTAATATAGTTGCATCATATGGTGTTTCTCCCTCTCTATCTTGTTGTGATGAATTGAGTTTTTCCTTTGAGATTTTGTTTTATCAGATTGAATACTTTTATGGATTTGAGAGCACTTGATATATGTCTTGCATATGAATACCCATGGTGACAATGGGGTATTGATACGTCCATTTTGCATCATGCTTTTATATCAATATTTATTGCATTATGGGTTGTTATTACACGTTATATCACAATACATATGCCTCTTCTCTCTTATTTTATAAGGTTTACATGAAGAGGGAGAATGCCGACAGCTGGAATTCTGAACTCGAAAAGGAGCAAATATTATAGACCTATTCTGCACAACTCCAAAAGTCCTGAAACTTCACGGTGATCAGTTTTGGAATAAATAAAAAATATTGGGCAAAGAAAGCACCAGAGGAGGGCCACCAGCCAGTCACGAGGGTGGAGGGCGTGCACCATACCTCGTGGGCCCCCTGGCAGGCCCCCGACTCCCATCTTCTGCTATACGGTGTCTTTTGCCCTGGAAAAAATCAGAGAGAAGCTTTCGGGGTGAAGCGCCGCCGTCTCGAGACGGAACCTAGGAAAGAGCAATCTAGGGCTCCGGCAGAGCTGTTCTGCCGGGGAAACATCCCTCCAGGAAGGGGAAATCATCGCCATCGCTGTCGGTGTCAAAACCGGCAGATCTCGGGTAGGGGGCCCAAGCTGTGCGTCTAGAGATCGATGGTAAAAGGGAGTCAGGGGACACGATGTTTACCCAGGTTCGGGCCCTCTTAATGGAGGTAAAACCCTACTCCTGCTTGATTATATTCGATGAGTATGAATATTACAAGAGTTGATCTACCTCGAGATCGTGATGGCTAACCCTCGATGTCTAGCCTATGAAGATTCCGATGATGATGAGTTACCCTCTACAGACTAACCCCTCCAGTTTATATAGACATCGGAGGGGGCCTAGGGTTTGTACAAGGTCGGTTGATCAGGGAAGGAAACCTCCGGACTCTATTTTTGCCGTCCACGTATTTAGAAGTCCCATCCGGACACAGTCGATGATCTTCAGCTTGATCTTGTACGGCCCATGCAGCCTGGCCCATATTCCTAGACCGGACACCTGAGGACCCCCGAATCCAGGACTCCCTCAGTAGCCCTTGAACTTGCCTTGAATGTCGATGTAGTATGCGGGCGCAAGTCTTCGGCTTTGCAAGGCGGGTTCCCTATTATACTCCGGATTGATGATACAGCCCAACATCGGTTTCCGCGCCTAGTCTTTATGATTTCTCCCTGTCGTGCCTCGATTTCCACGCGTCTGAGTGAATGCGAAGGGTCCATTATCCCTGTATTTTAATATTCCTGGCAGGCACAAGCCGCACCTATAAAACGAGGCGAGATCTTCAAACCGTCATCTCGCATCACACCAAAAGGAATAGAGCAAGCCATGGAAAACTTGAGACCATGGTGAGTGCCCCCGGTTCCTCCTCGCGTCCTCATCGCCCTCAAGAGGGGGACTGGCAGAGTTGCTCTGTATCTCACCTCCAGCTCAGTCAACTCCAAACGCAAGGTTATCTCCCTCCCCTAGATCTAGTCTCCGTACGGGCGGGGTTAACCACTATAGGTGCTGATGAATTGGCGGGGAATTTCCCCAATCCCAGTCACCGGGAGAGGCTGTGCTTCACCTCGTTCCTTTTGAGGGGCGTGGGATTCGTGATCCATCCCTTCCTTAGGGGCCTACTGGAACACTACGGGATCCAGCTGCACAACCTCACACCAGGTTCTATTTTACATATCTCTGGTTTCGTCGCTCTTTGCAAATTGTTTTTGGGTTGCGAGGCTCACTTTGAACTATGGAAAAAGTTCTTCTGCCTTGTCCCCGCCATCAGGGCGGCGGGTCTATTTTTGAAGTGGGCGGCGCCAAAGTATGGCGTATAGCCGGATCCAGCTACCCTGTTGGGACTCCGAAGAAGGGATCTGCCGAATGGTCTTTCGAATGGTTCTATATCGATGATGTACCTGTTCCGGACCCTGTTCGGCGCGGACTGCCAGAATTTTCCAGCGCCCCCTTGAAGAAGCCATATAGCTGGCGTCCCAAGTCCCCTGCCCAGGAAGATAGTGCGGAAGTGA